GGGGTCTGCCAGAATTGCCCTGCCAAAACCGATGATGCCCTGCAGGAAATTTTTGTTTCTGGCCACTATTTTTCCCAAAAATGTTGGCGGGCGAACGGGGGGGGGGGTTGAAAATTTTTCCGGACATTAAAAACCTCAAGTTTCGCCCCTGATAGTGTCATACTTGATGTAATTGGTCAATGAAAAGCCACGATGGGGAGTGAGCTGAAGAATCGTAATCCTAATCTTAATCCTAAACGTAATCGTAATCCTAGCCGTAATCATAATCAACTACAGTACGACAACATAGTTATAGGAGAGTTGCGTACTTGATTTACACAGTACAACTCAAGTTGTAAGCATAGGTCGCAAGACAGTTTTAAGCAAAAGTTGGGTGGTGTAAATCCGCCTTTACTGGGTTTCAAAAATTCGTTAGACAATTCGAACCATTTCTATATTTTGATTTTCCAGGTTTTTTCTAGAAAATCTTCACGCATTTTCTGGAAAATTTTCCTATTCTATGGAATTGCAAAACTTTGGAAATTGAACTTTTGTTTAGGTAATTTTTTGGTATAACATTTCCACAGTATGGAAGTGTTGAACTTGTACTATTTACAACATAAGCGGCCGTGTTGTATCGGATATACAAACTCGAGCCGAAGGCGAGAATTATTAACGAGTTTTTTAATTAACTTCATGAATTATTAATGAGTTTTTTAATTAACTTTATTGAAATTTTACAAGCTTGTGATTTTAAAAGAAAGTTTGTTTCACCCAATGAAATCTTGAACTACTTGTGTTAAGTATTATGTTAGATGACCCTAGCCATACATTGGTTCTACTATAGCTGGTCCAGGATCCATTTAATTTGATAATGATATAGTGTCGATCAGAAGGACTGCCCTTGGGAAAAGCTGAAATCCGGGCAGACATTGGGTGGGCCGGGGGTACGATATGTTAATAATAATACCCATCTCTTCTGTTTACCAATAAAACTTGTAGTCTCCCCTTCTAGAATCCTAACTCCGTAATAAATGCTCTCTCCTCCGCAGAGCCTGCTTAAGTATTTACAAATAACTTACATGAAGTGTCCTGAATAAAAGTGAGCGCGCGCTGTGTTATGGGAAGATTGAAATGAAGTTGGGGAGGCTCTGCCAGATAATGCGACGAAGTATGGTTTTTGAACCAAACTAGCTGTTTGACCTTTCTTAAACTTGAAATCAAAGGAAATGTGAAAGTTATTGAAATGAATCTTCATAATCTGAGTATCGAAGTTCAATAGAGTCATTTTTATAAAGAAATGTTGCAATTAAGAGGATATTTATAATTAGATAGCTCGTAGCCATTGATATTCGTTTGCAATTTCTCAATATTTTTCGATGCAAATGGACAGAAGAAGATATTGATGTTTTGATGTTGAATTCACCCCAGGATACTCAAGTACTTCTGAAAATGAAAGTCGAAAACACGTTTTAACACCCGCGATGGTTGATCGAACTTCGCTACAAACGATTATATACGACGCCATATTGATGGCATTAACTCGCAGAGGCTTCCTTTATTTAGCTCTTCCCATCACTCCTTGCGCGCTCACTTTTCCCTCACTAGAAACTTCATGTAAGCCTCTGCGGAGGAGAGAGGTAATAAATGCCTATGCTGGTTGAACGCACTGAAGCACATTTGAACTTGAATTTACGTGCATAGCAGTAGTCATGACCGATTTTTCGTATGACACAAAAGTGTCATAAAGTCCACACCGAACCCACGATCTTAGATTCTTATAGAGGTGAAAGGGTTTCCACTGACAAGTCCCTATTTGCTCGTCATCTCCACTGCAACATTTCAGAGAGGATTTCACAATTCACTTATAAACAGTATGTGGCAAACCTGGACTTTGAATGTTGTAAGTTCTTCTGAAAATGATGTGCTTTCTCTCTAAATCTTTCAAGTGTATCAGAGATTCCTTTCTTCTTTCCCCACTGATTAAATGGTTTTCTTGATGCAAGAGCTGGATCATGATCATGGCTGCCGTCGTCTTCTATATCCTAAACGTCAAGGCTCTACCTTAATTTTTTGGCTACTAGCAAACATGTGCAGTAGGTTTCACTGTCACTAGCAAAACGTGCAAAATCACTCGCAAAATGTATTAAAATAAATGTTTGGCATGTATTTCACGCATGTCGGTTATAGATTCATGTCTTGGTATTTATGAATGCTGACCCTAAACCTGACCCTTACCGCTGACCCTAACTCATAAACAGTGAGACATGAATCTTTATCCCGCATAATGGTATCTTCGTAACCTCTGACCGTAATAGATAGCTTGCATGGTTCTTCGTTCATCAGATGCTCGCATAAAAAATCATATATCTGCAATTTTTAATTGCTCAATTTACCAGAATAACGTCCATATACTCGCAAAGTTTGCTAGTGAAATGGTTCTTTTTACTAGCAAAGGCTGGCATTTTCCTCGCATTTTGCGAGTTTATGACTTTGCAAGCGTTCGCAAGTTCGAGGCTTGCTAAAGATAATCAGACTGATTATCAGGATGGGTGAATACTACAGTATTTATACTAAAAATGCTGTGCTGAGTGGTTATATTACTACCTTAAAAAATAAGCAGAAAGTCGACGTTTCGAGCGAAGGCCCGACGAAGGGCCTTCGCTTGAAACGTCGAGTTTCTGCTTATTTTTTAAGGTAGTAATTAACTACCATTTTGTTGCTGCAAATTGCACACGATCTTAGTCAGTCGATTACAAATACAAAAGACCTTTCTCGTAAGTATGGCGTCAGCATGCATAAATTTTTTTGTGACGTCAAACGCGGATAAACACTTCGGCTTCGACTTTCTTGTTTGCAAGAACGGTAAGTTTTCAAGACAAAACTTTTTTTTGCTCTAGATTTTAGCAGACTCCAGCTTCTACCAGGGTCTCCTCCCCCCCCAAGAGGGAAAGTCCTGGGTACAAGGTTGTCAGGATCTGATCTATCTATCACTCCTAATCATTCTCCAGAGTGAAACTCATTAAAAAATTCAAGATCTGTGAATGTATAAATTAAAAGGAATGTATATTCTTAACAATGTACATGTAATTATTGCACACATGTTAATGATATTCCAACCTCAAACATCAACAAACCTGTGCTGAGCCACTGAAAATCACTCTATATGTAGTGAGATGTAGAGTTCCTTCCACAGGCATGTGATATGTCTCGACACATGTTGCGTCTTGCTGGAGCAAAATCTTCTCACCAGGAAGTAATGTTGGATGTTTTGAAAGTTTCGGCGTCTTAGTAGCTGAAGCAAGCAGCGGCTTAGGAAGAAAAAATGACTATTTTACTCCAGGGGCCAGTTGTATGAAGGTTGGATATAAACGCTATCCACCAGATAGTGATTTTTTTCAAGGTTTCTAAAATTGACCATTAATTGGGTTTTTCCCCAGCTTAAACTTGAGTATTTATAAATTAACATGTGTTTTAGTAACTGCAAGGTCCGTATCTCCGTATAATGCTCTTCAGGCATTTTTAGAAAGGTTGAAAAAATCACTATCTAGTGCACACCGCTATCCAGCCTTCATACAACTGACCCCAGATTGAGATCTCAGATTTGGAGTGCCTTAATTAGATAAAAGTCTTTTATATTCTCTATCACTACAATTTGGTAAATGTGTTACTTTATAACAAGATGAAGGGCCCTAATCCCAATACATGGTCTTAGGTAGGTTTTCGATGTTGGCAGAGTGTCTCTAAATTTTAAGAGTGCGTACATGCCAATTACCCCGAGTAAGTGAAGTGAGTTGCCGGGATCCAAGAAATGGTAACGATGACGAATATCCGCAATTTTTGGGTGGCATCTAATTCTCGTTAACCAATGCAGACAATCAAAACAAAGTGAAAAGCAATTTTTCAAAATAAACTAACCATTTACAAAACAAATTTACCATCTTTCGTCCAAAAAATTATAAAACGTCGCTGTTGTGTGGACTTGTCTTGCAGACTTCGGCTGAAAAGCCACCCAAAAATGGTGGCATGAGAAAGGCTAATTGGATGTTCCTCTATATTTAAAACTGCTACTGGTCAAAGGACTTTCTACTATACAACTGTCACTCTGTGGAATAATATAAAAGTTTGCAACTCTATTCAAAACTTTAAAATGAAACTATAAACTAGCTACTTCAGGAATTTCAAGATAATTTTATACATGCATGTTTTTGTTGATCAGTGCGTTGTTGTTGTTGTTGTTGTTGTTGAGGTTATTGTTGTTGTTGCTGGTGATGTCGTCGTTGTTGCAGGTATTGTTGTCACCATTGCTGCTGGTGTTTTTATTGCCGCTGTTGTTGTGGTTGTTGTTGCTGTTGTCGTGGTTGCTGTTACTGTTGTTGCCATTGCTGCTGCTGTTGTTGTTGTTGCTGCTGTTGTTTTTATTGCCGTTGTTGTTGTTGTTGTTGTTGCTGATGTTGTTGTCATGGTTGTTGTTGTTGTTGTTGTTGTTGCCATTGTTGTTGTTGTCGTCATTGCTGGTGTTGTTGTTGTTGTTACTGCTGCTGTTGTTTTTATTGAGGTTGTTGTTGTGGTTGTTGTTGTGTTGTCATGGTTGTTGTTGTTGTTGTTGTTGTTGTTGTTGCTGTGGTTGTTGTTGTTGTTACTGGTGTTGTTGTTGCCACTGTTGTTGTTGTTGCTGTTGTTAAGGTTGTTGTTGTTGCTTTTGTTGTCATTGTTGTTGTATGTAATTGCGTTCTCATAAGTTGTATAAATTATTTAGGATTTAGTGACGTAATAATAATGATACTGTAAACTTATATGTTGTAATGTTGTCACTGAAAAGCTCCTTCAGGGGAGTGTCAAATGAATAAAATCAAATTTTAAGTTTCAAATTTCAACAACCTACAGTGCAGTGCTGTTCTAGTTTGACAACGATAGACTATTTGTGTGGTTGTTCAATCGGTACAAGCAAATACAACATGAGCATAGGTTCATATATTTCACATGGGCATAACAATGAGTCATTTTGGTAAAGATGTTTTAGTTGACTCTTATGGCATGGGTTAACAAGGTCTTGTATTATGCTGCACAATGCACCCAAATGCACTCAACATTACAGTAATATTTTACTCTGTCTAACACCAGACAAGTTTTATTTGTCAATGGGAGATTGTTAATTGGTTTAACCCATTGAGTGGCAGCATTCTCTACTTGACGTCAAGTACAATCGTCTGGCATTAGACAGAGTAAAATACTAAAGTAGGGCGCATCAGAGCGCATTGCCAATTACAGTGCGTCTACTGTAAGTGGGGCCACTAACGCCATTTGGATAACACTAACCAATCACATTGCAGAACAAAAATAGAAATCTAATCAAACTAAAGTCTATTTTTGAAGTATATTTTTACAGTTTGACATTTGTTCAAATTGTTTTTGGCCTAATGCTGATTGGCTAATGCGCCATTTGTTGATTTTTCTATTTTTGTTCTGCAACGTGATTGGTTAGTGTTCTCTAAGTGTCCCCACTTACTGTAGATGCACTGTAAAGGGTTAAAATGTATATTCACATCACATACAGCATTCGGCCCTTGTATTCATGCACCACACTGCAGAAATGGGCACTTTTCAATAAGATTTTGGGCGTGCAAAAGTAAAACATCTAGGTGTGCTAAACCAAGTGTGCGCATCAAAAGACAAGGGGCTGAATAGAAATTACAATGAAAATTTGAGACTAATAGGGGAATAGTAACCCATTAAGCTGCAGAACTTCCCCATTGACAAGTAAAATCATCTGGCGTTAGACAAGTAAAAAAAAAGTAGGGTGCACTGGGGCGCATTGTGGCTCAATGGGTTAAAATGCAAAAGTTCTAATAAAGGGCATATTTGGCAATATTTTCAGGGATCAATATATTAGCCGAGCAAAATGCTGATATGGCCTACTGTAATCTTTAACACATGCAAACAAAGATTCCAACTGCTAGACAATCAAAGAATCTGACTTCGTTCTGATTCACACAATATTATGTCATCTCGTGTGTTAAGTGAAATATTTTATATGATATATACGTACTGTTACTGAGTAAGTTGTCGTTGATATTGTGTAATTTTGTTTATGTACTGTGACAACTGACAACGTCCCCCTTGAGAATAATTAAGTGTCCGATCATGTCCGACCAAAACATGGATTGATCTGACACAATGTCAGATCAAGTTTTCAGAATTATATTAAACTCTGAATATTTCTGCTTTACAAAATTGTGAGGGTGACAGTGACCAACTCTGTAGTCTGGCTCGTGCAATGTTCAGATACTTGATAGTCATGTTTCATTCGAAACTAGACAGTACAATTCAAATTTAATCAAAGCTCTGTAAAGCTCTGCCAAAAACTAGTAATTATTTTCCTTACAAAAATATATTAAGGTGAAATAAGGCAATGTAATAGGGATGCTTTTGTTTTGGTTTGGGTCATTTCACACTTTGGGCACAATATACAAGTGGCACTGCCACTGTCAGCAACATACAGTAATTTTAATAAAGCTATATCCCTGTTTATTAAAGTATCAAGAGAAATTAAGCAAATTTATTCCCTTAAATAGAGTTTCTTTATCTATAATCTGTGTTGAAAACTTCCAAAACGGAAAAATTCATGTTTCCATAGCAAAATAACATCCCAAATAAATTATATTTGTTCAACAGCACAATACAAAATAACAATTGTATCAATTTACCGGAATACTGTAGCTTGAATCCTCGTTTAAAATTCCCACCAACCGTTCAGGAGTCAAAGACTTATCAACCATTCCACGATAGTTTATTAACCATGTTATATGTAAGAATATGATTTAAAGTAACGAAGTTGGCGGTCTGTGTGTAAAAATGTCAAATACATTGTTCATTTGTCATTTATGTTTTGAGCGCCATATTGCTTTGAGTCGCGGTTCAGCACGGCTTGTCAGGGCACAGAAGAGACCGCCCGCTCCCC